CTTAACAATCTACTAACTGATTTCCCCTCCATTGAGTGAACATACACAAAGTCATGAACCTCATAGTATCAACTTCTAATTTGAAAACAGAACTATCATACCTGACTGGAACCACATCATCACATCCATAAATGAGTATGAGATCATTGGTTCTCCTAAGGTACTTTATGATATTTTTCACAACAGACCAGTTATGAAGTCGAAGTTCAGACTAATATCTACTAACTATCCCTACCATATAGCGGATCTCTTGTTTGGTATAGACCATGGCATATATGAGACTCCCATATGCCGAAGCATATTATTCCAGTCTCATTTGCTCAAATCCTCTGATAGTCTTGGAAAACTACTTACTAGATAGAGTAATCTATGTCAATAACGCAATAACTCATTCTTTGAGTTTTGCATACCAAACTTGGTCAAAACTTTATCAATGTAGGATTATTAAGATAAGCCTATTTTCCTTTTAACCTGATCTTGCAAAAGCTTGATCCTAGGAATATAGCTTACATCATGAAAATCCTTCATTTCAAAATAATTGAACAACTACCTCTTTACTGATGACAAAACTTCCACATCATTTTAAATGAGTAGGATGTCATCAATATATATAGAATTAGAAAAATAATGACATTCCCTTGTACACTCATGATTTATTCACTAAGAAATCTTCTGGTATCCTTTTATAGATTAACTTGCCTTCCATAGGTATCACCTTACTAGAAAGTTTTACAAGATCCCAGATTTTATTAGAATACATAGATTCCAACTCTGATTTCATAGCAACTTGCAAAAATGATCTGTATCCATATCGGTTCACGCTTTTGTGTAGCTTACTGGGTCCAACTCATGTTTAATAGGGGTATCCGTAAAGGTCTCACCTAAAAACATGATTCTGTCAGATTGGATGATAATCCTCCCACTACATCAATGTATCGATGCAGGAATCTGTGTACTAGATGATGCTGACGCATCAATAAGGAATTCATCTATAATTCTCAATCTCTATAATAAGTGTGTTCATCTTGTGGTACAACTGGTACTAATACCATATTCTCACACATTATGCTACTAGGTATATGATCCTCCTATAGATAAACAGTGAGTGTAAATAATTAACTTTTATCATTGAGATCATAAAATAATCCATCCTAATGCCTTTATAGTAGCTATCAAATCAATCATGCATATGATCTGCTCCCAACTTACTTATCCATATCAAGGGCGCATGTGCAAGACTACCCCATATGTACATGTGATTCAAATTAAGATTTAGTAAAAAACACAACTCAAAAGATATCCTTGAGACAAACGAAGATGGATTGCAATTCATAATGCTCATCGATATCATTAATGCTAAACTCTTAAATGAAAGAGATAATGTAGCATAATTGATCATAGATCTAACCATGTTAAGCAGAATTCTATTATTCCTATTTGACACCTAAATCCATTTAGCGTCAATTGTGGAAAACTGGTACACAACACCCTCATTGACCATATAGTCTTTGCACTATCCTAAGAAATACTCATATCCATGATCAGATCGAAGTGTTTTGATAAGTTTACCTAATCTGTTCTCCACATCAGTCTTGACACTTTCGAAATATACTAAGAGTTTAAGACTTGTGTCGCATCAGATAAATTTTTCCAATACGTAAGTAGTCTTGCTTGGATGTTCATAAGACCACACATGTCAGTGTGTACCGACTCCAATTGTTCTTTATGTCTATTTCATTTGGCTGATTAAACCCTTAGGTTTATCTATCCTTCAAAACAGGATTCATAAGTTTGGTTTAGGCTCCCCTGCCTCACTAGGTTATAAACCTTCTTTGACCAATCTTTGAATCTCATTTTAACTGATTACAACCCAATAATAGACACTAAAAATACAATGAGTCAAGAATAACAAAATTTCTCTTAACATTCAATCTAGAAGATGCAACAATAGTTTTTACATCCTAAAAATATTAAAAGCTTGTGGTTATAGTATATCAACCATCTTTCAATGCACCAGAAGTAATCGCACATCTATTCAATTTTATAAAACCAGTTTTATAAAATAACAATACAGTTTTTATAAACCAAAAGTGAAACAAGAATTAGATTGCGTTTAACATCTGTGCATAAAGATAGTTATCAAATACTCATATCCTCATACTCTCTAATTTCAGATATAATACTCCCACTGACTTAGCTACAACCTTGGCATCAGGTCAAAAAACAAATATATATCCATATCATTGAGGCTTTTGGATTCCTGAAATCCTTGCAACGAATTGCAAACATGTTTAGTGGCTCCAGAATCTATCCATCAGGAATTAATAGATACAACCACATAACATGGCTCAGTAATTAAATATATTTTCCTATACCACGTCATTGCTTAGACAGTTCGTCCTTTATTGTCTTAGTTAGCGGCAAAAGAAACAGTTTCCTTCGCCCTCAACAAACACTGCCTTATTCCCTTTAACCTTTTGGATACCCCTGTTTTGCGTTAACCTAGTCCTATTATCATCCTTCCCCTTTCCTTTGCCCTTCCACTTGGGCCTAGAAGAAGATGGTATAGACTACATTAGATTGATAGGAATGCCTATTCTTCTGATTATCCCTTTATCTGTTACCAATTCTATAAGAATATCAGTGAGTGTGAACTCAAACTGATTCCTTATTTAGTCTACTCTGAAAGAGCCGAACGAATTTGGTAACAAGACAATAATCATGTCAATTTGAAACTGACCATTCAAGTCAACCCTATTGATCTCCAATTTAATTTTTAAATAATAAACAATCATTTTTCAAAATCTGATCTCTTACTGGAGATCCTTAGACTGTCTCAATGGTAATCAAGTCTGACTCAGTACTTAGGCATAAACTCTATCTAATCTCACCAAAACATCTCATTGAGTATCTTAAAGTAAAGAAATTAGGTATAGGAGTATTAAATACATTTTGTACCATTACGTTGTGAATAAAATATCTAAGTTCCTTATCCAGTCAATATAAATGAGGTCCAAAAACATTGAATATGTAAGCAAGCAGAAAAAATGGATTAGACATAAATAATCTGAATATAAATGCAATCATACAATATGCAAGGTGAATTATTAATATTATCATGCATATTTAAAATTAAAATGAGTTTGTCAACCACATAATATAATAAATCTCAAAAGATCATAATCATTATTAGTGAAGAATCCCTTTTAATTAATGCGGGTCCCTCAACTCCATAGCATAATAAATCACACAATCAATACGTCAATAACTTATCCTGATGGAGGAGTTCATTATTACTATTGTTGGGATTCATTTGCTATTAGGTGAGCACTTCCATTAAAGTAATAATATGTGTGTCCCTTAACCACTGCATGAAAAGTCGGACAACCAATATGCCAATAACTTATTCGGTTAGCGAAGTTCATTATTGCTATTGGCGGGCAAATCCTATCATTTCCATATCTTTTAAGACAATACCTTGTCTATTATATGAAATGATTCCCGATTTATGTTTAACCTTTCTAAAATCACCTAGTGTAGACCACTCCGTTGGGGAGCTAACACTATTGATTTTAGATTGAATGTATAACGTTATTAAAGCTCTAATGAAAAATAAAACATTAAATATCTTGTCATTATAATCTAAACTCTTTAAATCATGCGTAAGGCCTTATTTTTAAAGATCTAATTACAATGAACATTTAATATTTTTATTTTCACGAGACAACCATTTTTGTAATATTAAGACTCTTCAAATCATGCGTGGGGCCTTATTTTTGAAGATCTAACTATAATGATTTTAATAACGAAGGCCATGGGGCAATGTATAAAAATCCCCACTCCCACTCAATTTTTAATCATACATAATTAGGGTTTTCAATTTATTCATTTACATGATATAATGCATGCAAAACACTTTGATTTTAATCCAATTAAATTTAGAAAATATTTGGACTTTTAAATGATTCACTAATATTTAATTTGAGGCACACTTTTAAAAATAATTTACAAATTTTTTTTTCGTTTCCTATGATATGCCCTCAAATAATTAGTAATCTAATCCAATTAATTTTCATAATTTAATTAATATAAATTAAGTCATTTAAATACATATCATGGATCAAATGCATGAATAATAATTAACAATTATCTATTCTATGCATTTCATACATCACATAAATAAATTAATGATAGATAAAACAAATAAAATGGTCAATGGAATCAGCTTTTAACATTTAAATACTATTCTTGCTGATTAGGTGTCCACCAACGGCTTGTAAACACCTGTAGGGAGCTGGTACACGCTAGGAGAAGCAAAACGACGCTTGGAACACGCCCGGAGGACCCCACACGTGCTGGCACACGCTTGGAGGAGCTATAGCTCATCCCCACGTGCTTGCACGTCACTACACCATATTGGGGTTTTACCAGTGCTTCTATAAAGAGCGCTGGTATAGGTGTACTATTACCAGCGCTCTTTATAGAAGTGCTAGTATATGGTCTTTAGTTGCAGCGGTACTAGCACTCTTTGTAGGAGCGCTAGTATAGGGTTTTAATTACCAGCGCTCCTTACAAAGAGCGCTGGTATGTGGTTTTTATTACCAGCGCTTAGCCCCATCCCACTTTTTCCCTTCCCTCCTTCTTTCTTTTTTTTTTTTTTTTTTTTTTTTTTTTTACCTTACCTCCCTTTCTTCCCTCCATTGATTTGGGCCCTAAACTACGCCATTTTTGGGGGCAATTGGTGTGTAGTACCAACGCTCTTTGTAGGAGCGTTGGTATTGGGTGTGTAGTACCAGCGCTCTTTGTAGGAGCGCTGGTATATGGCTTTAATTACCGGCGCTCGTTATAGGATCGCTGGTATATGGTAACCCCCCCCCCTCCCCTCCCCTCCCACTTTTTCCCTTCCCTCCTCTTTTTTTTTACCTTCCCTCCCTTTTTTCCCTCCGGTAATTTGGGCCCTAAGCTACGCCGTTTTTGGGGCTAATTAACACAGAATTCCACTTTCCCCATTTCATTCCTAACACCTTCAGCCGTTCTCTCTCCTTCCATCACAGCTCTGTCGCCCTTCCATCACTGGTCTCGCCCTTCCATCACCGATCATCACGTCTCTCTCCTTCTATCACAGCTCTCTCGCCCTTCCATCACCGATCATCACGTCTGTCGCCCTTCCATCACTGGTCTCGCCCTTCCCTTCCATCACCGATCATCACGTCTCTCTCCTATCACAGCATTCCAAAACTGGTGGCTTGGTTTACAGAGACAAAGTCATTGCTACTGCACACACAGAGAGAGAAAGAGTCGTCGTTGGGGGTTTCCAAAACCTTGTCTACACTAATAGATCGGACGAGAATTTTTTTAGGTTAGTAACTGTTCACCTTGTGATTTTGATTACCTGTGTATTTCTTTTTTCTTTTTTTTTTTAATTTAAATTATGAATTTACCATATTTGTCAACGTGCCCTAGCTTTGTTTGTGTAGAGTCGGCAGACGAGACTCTCTTCGCGAAAGCCCTAGCTCATTGCCCCCGAGCACTGGACATCGTGAAAGCCTTGGATAGCTCATTGCCTCCTCCTTACAGCTTTCTGAAGTCTAAACAAGGTGTGCTCCTAACTTCCTATGTTTGATTGTTTGAACTTTTTTGTTTTGGACTTTGAAATTTTTCTTTACTTCTTCTTTCCTTGGGCTGTTTTGCCACATTTATCTTCCAGATGCTCCATTTTGACTGGAATTGAGTTTTATAATTTTTTGGATGCCTGCATAAACTTGTCATATTCTGTCAGTGTGAGCCTCTTTTTGTGTGGACAAATGCACTTAAAAATTACCAGGAAAAAATAATAATAATAAATTCTTAATTTTGAATCAATGAGATGCGAGCATGGGACAATTGTGACTCTTATTCTCTGAGAAACTATCAAAATCACTAGTTTTCTTTACATGTCGGAATTGAGGAAGTGTATGTTCATATGCAGAAGTCCCCAAAACATAGCATGTATAGTTCATAAAACTTACAAAACCATAAGGCTATATTTGAATTGACAAATGTATTTTAATTTGCACAATTCATCTAAGAAGAAGACATCAAAATCTCACTTGTTCGAGTGTACACAGGCCATGGTCTAACAAGCCCCAAATTGGTTAATGTCCTAATAGCTTAATGTCATCTTAATTTTCCTTGATTTAATTTAGAACACTCCAACCAGCCCCAAATTTGTTTAGCTAATAGGTCATATATAGTTAGCAGAATAAAAACCTATGGGAAAAATATTTGAATGTCTACAAGTTACAAACTTACAGAAGGTGAAAGCCATCTAGAGAGAGTGTCGATTACTGTCCTTTAAAAAATCTAAAATTTTCCTTAGATTTTTATTCTTCAACTATTAGAGAAACTACTACCCTGGCACATAATGTCACAAACACTCAGAATGCAAAGTAAAAACTTTGTGAAAAATTGCTTAAATTACCTGCGATTATACATGTTTTAATGGTAGTCAGATTCCAAAAGGCTGTGACAGCCGATGCAACCACAAACTTCTTGTGAGAGCAAGCCCCCCATGCTTCCAACACCGACCATTTGAAGCACCATTTGAAACAATAATAATAATATATTATCAGTGAGAAAACAATAAAAGTCATTGTTGTTGCTTAGACAAATCAAGTGAGGGCAATCATTTTCACATTAGCATCCTTACACACTACTCTCAGTCCGTGAAAATCTCTCTTAAGAGTGAGACTGACATCTTTTTTGTATGCAAATGAAAATCTCTCTTAAAAGTGAGAGTGACATTTTTTTTTGTACTGCATACAAGATTCCATGAACAATTTTTACCAGTGCATAAGCTTTTGTCAAATACAATTAAATCTAAGCATATGAACTAGAAAAAACTGTTACTCATATATCCCACATCGATCTCTATCCCCATTTTCTTTTCCTTTTTTGGGTAAATTCCCCATATTATTATTTTTATGTGTTTATATATATATACACACACACATATAAGTTCTTTATGTGTGTGTCTACACTTGAGCTTGGATTACTATTATTTTATAATAATAATAATAATAATATAGGCTGGGCTTGGATTGGTCTTTGGTTAAAAATTCAACTTTAAGCCCAACCTGCATAATAATAAATGAGAGTGACATCATAATTGGGTAATTGACGCCATTGTTAGTCCAGGAAAATAATACAAGTATAGTGTTAGGACCTGAGACACATATTTTAGAACTTAAGGCCATGTTTGGTTCTAAAAAAGAATATCTACAAAATATGTGAACAGACCATACTTTTTTAAAAACTAAAAGATATTTGCACGAAAATTGACAATTTTAATTTTCGAAGAATACTTTAGAAATTTATCACTAAAATTTTGATATTGTCTTTTTAGTTATTGTTATTGGGCAGAAGTGCTTCTGCTAACCAAATACGTGTTTCAGTGTGTTTGATTTTATTGTTAGAAATAAGAATTTTGAAAAAAATAAATAAATAAAATTTGAAAACATTTTTTACAGAATTTTGAGAATAAAAGAGAAAGCTAAATATTGTTGTTCACTGAGATTGATTATGTTTGTCAAAGGACAGTAAGATATACTGCTATATCAATTTGTCCCTATATATACTGTATTTGTGGCATTGTTTTAGTTTATGCTGTTTAGTTAATATATTGTTATTACATATTAATATTCTGATTTTATGCTATCATTAGTAAATACTTTATAACTATTAATATCCAATTTTCATAATAATAATAATAAATTTTGTTAAGGAATTTGTTTTAATGGAGTAGTCATGATTTTTTTTGTACATGTTACTTTTTATTCTTTTCAAATACCTTGACTAAATTGTTATTATGTTTATCAATAATATATTTCTTATCCATATATTTTATTTAGATTACTTGATGTAATATCATGGATTGAAGTTGGATAACTCAGTCAAGGTACTTCAAATTGTAGTTTGATTAGGTTACTTAATCTAATAACTACAATTTAAGAAATTTGATTTTTTATATGCATTACTATGCAAATAGGTTAAGTTCAGCATACTTGCGTGGAGTTGAAGAGTTTCTAGATATCTCATTTGAGTGAGTTGGGAAGGATGGGCGTATATATTGTCCTTGTACTGATTGTGACAATTGCATAAAAAAAACACGTTCTGAGGTGAGAGATGATTTGGTGTGTAATAAGTTTATTCAGTCATACATAACTTGGTCTTATCATGGGGAAGAAGTGCCGTCATCTTCTCGGCAAACTGATGTATACACAACACACGACAATATCAATGCAAACAAAAATGATGATATGCATGGACTCTTACACGAGGGTTTTGGTGTTCCAATTGAAGGGAGGGAAGAGACCAACGGAGAAAATGATCAACACCAAAGGGTGTCAAATGAAGAGTTAGATAAATTTTATAGGCTATTGGAAGATGCAAACCAAGAGTTATATCCTGGGTGTAAAAAGTTTTCAAAGTTATCCTATATAGTGAAGCTATATTTAGTGAAGACTAAATATAATTGGAGTGACAAATCATTCACTGATCTGTTAAAAGTGATAAAAGATGGATTACCAGATGGTGAGACATTACCAAAAACCTTCAATGAAACAAAGAAGATGATTGGTGACCTGGGTCTTAAATATGATAAGATTTATGTATGTCCCTCTGATTGTACGTTGTATTGGAAGAAGCACTCTAATGATGAAATGTGTCATAATTGTGGCAAGTCAAGGTGGAAAGTTTTTGATTCAGAAACTGAGGGCAATGCAAGTACATCATCCTCATCAACAAATAAAAAAATTCTTGCTAAAGTCATACGATATTTTCCTTTGAAGCCAAGACTCCAAATATTATTCATGTCAAGTAAGACAACTTCTTCTATGAGATGGCATGCCGAAGAGCAAATCAAGGATGGATTGATGAGACATCCCGCTGACTCCCCAGCATGGGATAGCTTTGATAAAAGATACCCAACATTTTCTAGTGATCCTTGGAATGTCAGGCTTGCATTAGCAACTGATGGGTTCAACCTATTCAAGACCATGAGTGTTGCACACAGTACATGGCCTGTTTTGATACTCGTGTATAACTTATCCTCATGGATGTGCATGAAACAGCCTTATTTTATTCTATCAACCTTGATACCTGGCCCTAAGGGACCTGGAAATGATATTGATGTCTATTTGCAGCCTTTGATAGAGGAATTAAAAGAGTTGTGGGTTGATGGGGTGGAAACTTATGATGCTTCAAGAAATGAGATGTTCCGTATGCATGCAGCATTGTTTTGGACTCTTTCTTACTTTCCTGGTTATGCAATGGTATCCTGCTGGAGTACAAAAGGGTATTTGGCTTGTCCTACTTGTAACAAAGACACTTGTTCTCATTTCTTAGATCATAGCAAGAAAATATGTTATGATGGGCATCGTTGTTTTCTTGAAAAAGATTATAAATATAGGCGTTGTAAATTAGCAAATTGACGGCACTGAAGAGGTAAGGTGTGCACCGCCTATGTTATCTGGACCACAATTGTTACATGAATTAATGGGCCTTAAATTTCCACATTTGGAAAGAGTGTGCATACAATGAATGAAGATCGGAAGCATGAAGATCGGACGCGTCCGCCACACAATTGGAGGAAGAAGAGTATATTCTTTCAATTACCATATTGGAAGTATAATCTTCTGCGTCACAATCTAGATGTGATGCATATTGAAAAAAATATATGTGACAATATACTTCACACATTGATGAATGATCAGAAAGGGAAGGATGGATTAAAAGCAAGACTTGACCTACAGGATATGGGAGTAAGGCCTTCACTTCACCCACAAGAACATGGTTCAAACAAATTTTATTTGCCTCTTACAAGTTTCACGCTATCTTCACTTGAAAAGAGCACATTATGTCGAGTGTTGAAAAATGTTAAAGTTCTAAATGGGTATGCATCTAACATTTCACGTTGTGTGAAATTGAAAGAGCGTACAATTAGTGGGTTAAAGAGTCATGATTGTCATATCTTGATGCAACAACTTCTAGCCATAGCCATTCGTAGGATATTGCCTAAGAATGTTTGCTCAGTACTTGTCGAGTCAGTAACTTTTATCGAGAGTTGTGTTCAAAGACTCTTCGGCTTGAAGACTTGGATAAATTGGAACACCGGATTGTTTTAATACTATGTCAGTTGGAAATGATATTCCCACCTGCCTTCTTTACCATAATGGTACATTTATCTGTTCACTTAGCTCACGAGGCAAGGATTGCAGGACCAGTGCAATACCGTTGGATGTATCCAATTGAGAGGTCAAGATTTTTAATGAATTTTCATTTATAGTTTGTTTATTTTTTAATAATTATGATATTATTAAATTTCATTCTTTATATTTAGGTACCTTATGAATTTGAAAAATTATGTGCAAAATAGAAGTCATCCTGAGGGTTCAATAGCAGAAGGTTATTTCACGGAAGAATGCTTGACTTTTTGTTCACGTTATCTGACAAATATTGAGACGAGATTCGATAGGCCCCAAAGGAATTCCGATAATGTGCTTGATGAAGAGGAAGTGAATGATTTTGGTGCACAAGGCCGTGCCTTGGGAAAACAAGAGTTCATTAATCTAGATAAGATGACTTTGGTGCAAGCTCATCGGTATGTTTTATTCAATTATCATGGAGCAGAACCATTCATTGAGTAAGATTAAGTTCCCCAATATATTACATGATTATATTCGTGTCAAACTTCATTTAGTTTAATAGGGAATATGTTTAACATTATATTTTCATAATGCAGAAAACATAAGAGATTTCTTAAGATGAGGCAGCGCTATTTAAAACCAAGATAATTAGAGAAGATGTCTCATGATTTATTTCACAAATGGTTTAATGAACGTGTAAGTATTTGACTTTTGTGTTGTTGGTGTATTATAGGTTTATGAAAAATTACCTTATTATATAAGTTATATCTTTATGAATACAGTTATGAGATAGTGAGGATCCAATTCCTAATGAGATGAGGTGGCTAGCACAAGGTCCAAACCATGTCGCGAAATGGTTCAAGAAGTTTGTGATCAATGGTTTGAAGTTTCATGTTAGAGATGTTGAGAGACAGAGAAAGACTCAGAACAGTGGAGTTGTCATAAAGGCAGTGACATCTAGTTATGCAAGAGCCACCGATCAAAATCCCGTCACAGGAGATATTCAGTACTATGGTGTGCTGACTGATATCATTGAGTTAAATTACAATGTAAATAGAAAGGTGGTATTGTTTAAGTGCGATTGGTTTGATGTCTTGTCCAAGGGTAGAGGAATAAAGGAGGATGATTTTCGATTTAAGCTTCTTAATTCGTCACGATCGTTGGGAACAGATAAGCTTTTCATTCTAGCATCTCAAGCTGAACAAGTATTCTATGTTGATGATCCCATTGACAATGAGTGGAAAGTGGTTATTGGCGCAAAACCACGAGACCTTTATGATATGCCAGAGCATGATATTGAATCTTATCAAGTTCAGGAGCCATTTCATGCACAATATGTGGATAACGACTTGGATGTACCTGATGATAGCACGTTTTGGACAAGAGCTGATTTGCTTGGAACAACTATAGAAGAAGATGACGATGTTGATGATGACCTTGATGAAGATGAGATTTAGGATGATTCCATATCTACTACTCAATGGATGTGAAACGTCTTTTTTGGATGTCAAATGTCTTTTTTGGATATTATAAGCTCTGATTCACTATATATATATATATATGCAACTTTGACAATAATATTGCAGTATCATATTTTGTAGCATGCACATGTACGTTTCCCGTGAAAACTTACTTAGTTTTTTTGTGTGCTTATATATTTTTAATATGTTTTGATCTATTCTTGGCATATTATTTTTTATTTCTTTTTATTGATTTTTCTTGAATTGTGTACTGCCTTTTTTAAACAATATGATTGCATTCTCTTAAATGAATTCTCACTTTTTTGTTTTCTTTTCTAGAAAGGATAAATAATAAGTTGACAATGAAACGAACGGTTAGTGAAGTGGAAAAAGTAAGTGAACAAAATACTGAAGCTTCAACTTCAAAATCATCCCAACCACCGTCGAAGAAGAGACGGGGCCCGACACGATGCAAGAATGTCGTAAACGTGACAACCTTATTACCATTAAGGTACATATATATAGAGATCATCTTATATAGTTTACATAATTAGACTATATTCAATATGAAGGAGAAAAAAGGATTTCTATCATTATTTTTGTACTAAACATCTACAATTGTTAATTTTTGTTTATGGTTAATAAGTTTGGACAGCCGATCGGCCCTAGAAGTGGTACATATACTAATTATTTGGGAACACTTGGGAACACTTGCCCGGAAAGCTAATTTAGCTCCTTTGTGCTACAAAACTTGATGGGAGATGCCTAAACGGCTGAAGGAGGATATGTGGAACGTTGTAAAGGTAAAACCTTTCAATGATATTAAAATAATTTTTATGGAAAAATTGGATTAACATGCAGCAATTATCACATTTTCAGGGAAAGTATGATGTGGGAATCATGTCAAAACATTGGACAATATCCTTCATCGGAAAAAAAATGGAAGGGGTACAAGTGTGAATTAAAAAGTGAATATTACTCGGCTAGGGATACAGATGCAGAAAGATTGGCAAACCCATCACCTGATGTTGAAAAGGAGCATTGGGAATTTTTGGTTAGGCATTGGGGTATGCCTATGGCGAAGGTAATCCTCCATCCACCAATTTTGTTTAAAGTCAACAAGTTGAATTTATAATTTACCTGTTTTCAGTCATTATTTTAGGTGGAATGTTAGAATGTTTACTTTTTCTCACTTCTTGTAGGAGGTCAGTAAAAAAACAAAGAACGTCATGGGAAGCAGACAATGATGCATACTACAGGGACAAAAAGCTTTGCACGTGTTTCTGCCGAGGTTAGTTGAAGTTTTGGCAATATAAATTATTTCAGTTCTTATGTTGTTGAATGATTATAAATGTTAGTGGTAAATAATAATATATATCACAATGTCTATGTTTCTTTTATAGATTGAGGAAGACAAAGGTATTCAGCTTTCTCGTGCAGATTTATTCATTCGCACACATGCAAATAAGGATGGCAAAGCTACTGATGCTGCTGCTTCGGAGATGATTGTAAGTTTTCATGCTTCCATTTGCAAAAAGGGGGTCATGTGCCCTGAAGTGGCCAATTTTTAAACTCTTTGCGGTGTATTAGGGGGTCACATGCCTTGAAGTGAAATTTTTAAGTCATTGGCCCATGTGGAGGCATTTTAATTTTATTGTTTATCATCGGCCCGTGTGGAGGCAATTTACTTTCTTGTATTTGTTGAAAAGCGTAGGAGTATGGGATCATTGTATATGGAGGCTTCTTGTTGATTGATTTGTGTTGTGGAGAAGTATTTGCTATTTCTTGTTTGTGTCAATGTGTCAATCATATTCTCCCCAACATATATTTAATTTCCATTAACACTTGTACTCTATTTGTTCTCTCATCTTTTCTCTGTTTCTAAGTTTTATTGCTTCATCCTTGTTCTACACCTAGTAATTCTTGGGAAATTATGGACACAATGTGCCCAGAATTTTGATCTCACATAAAAATGATCACATCTCATATGTTACTTAGGTTACACTAACACACAAACTGTATAAGTTTTAGGTCTTATAGTCATAGATAAGGAGTAAAAAATAGAGGAAAAAAAACCAATATACTTTATACTTAATGACAATATATAGTGTATAACTCATGGTATCATCTCTTTCTTGCCTCAAACTTGAAAGATAGTTCAGCTGATAATATCAACTTTTCATCAATGAAATGATATTAAAATTTTCCGCATATGTTGCACCTCTCTTTTCACAAAAATTATTGGTTAGGGACCTAGGGTTAAACATACTCCATTTCTATATCCTAAGATTGACTGTATGGTGAAAAAAAAAAACACAGGAACAAAATTTGTCAACTTAAAAAAACAAAAATTGTTCAATAAAAAAACTGTGAGCAGAAACTATTTTCCCGGTGATCATAAAAAATATCCCTCTAGACTAGCGAGTCCAATTGCACTTGAAAGATTGGTCTCTGCAGGAGGTTTAGGCTGTTGTAAAGCCAAAAATGCATTAATAGTGCAATCTCATCGACAAGAATACTAAGCTTCAGACTTTTACCACAAATGCCATCAACTTTGCTACTCTAGATATATGTAATCAGAAACGGCAAATAACCAACAAGAGATAAAGGAAGAGGCATGCTGGACCTCCCCATAGTATTAAAGAAATACTCACATCAGAGCATGGTTATTGTATAGTTCATTTTGTGTATATTTTGTGCATTCATGAGTTTGCACCCCTACTGACTTTTGTATGTAAAAGGGAAGTATATTAGAAACTGTTTTGAGATATATGCACATAGACTAGCCTGTACCAGCTACTATGAAACCTCTAATATTCCATTTCCCTTCTAATCCACTTCTTCTATCCCAATTTTAAGTGGGCCTTTAAACTGTAAAAATGGATTTTAACTGGAGCACAAGACCATTCTAGTAAGCCAGACATATTTAAGTGCATGACAATGTATTCATGAAGAATAAAAAAGCAATTAACTCAGGTCAAATGGTGGGACCCCACCTCTATTTCTCCTAAAAGGGGGAAGAAAGTTTTATTAAAGAAAAAACCCACAAGTGATATGAATATGTCGATTGGTCAAATTGTATCTCTACCTCCCTCCCTTCCTTCCTCCCTTTTCTCTCTCTATCACGCACACACACACACTTATAGAACTCGTGCTTGCTTTCCAAAAATAATAGCTAAAAGGGTAATTTTAAGTATTTAAATTGGGTCAAATAATCCAACATGCCTGGTTGCCACCAAATTTTCTACAGGGAGGTAACTAACTGTAACTAAATCCAGCAATAGTGCACCCGCTTCAAACAACCTAGAAATCACTGAAATCAACAAAATGAGGGTATGTGTGCATCTCTAATTGGATTACTTGAACCTTTAACATCAAATCATTCCCGGCCATATGAAAGTGCAAAAATTAAAATCTTCAACCTTCATGTTAATAAATGCAATGAAGATATCTTTATTTTTTTGGTTGATAAGAAACATTACTTTTAACCTATTTTGTTCTCATATGATAGCTCATGACATTTTTAGCTAATCCTTGAACTTCTCTCAGATGCAAAAATGTTTCTCATATAGCATATCACAGAAAAAGGAAGGATCAAATGATTTTGTTGAACAATTTTTATAAACTTAAACCCTATAATTCATCTATAGGAATTCTATACATTAAAGCTCACCATCCTTTCTCATCTCAGGGAGCAATCCTGAAGCACGCTTTTCTACGATTTTAATATATCCATCAACGTCATGATCATGAACATTAAACAAGACAATTAAGCCATATTGAAAAACTACCATGTAACAGCAATCACTTCCACTTAAACTGGAACCCGAACCCTGAGATAAAAATAATAATATCAATAATAATAACAAAGATTTAAGAAAAACATTCAGTTTGATGAATCATGTCCATTAAATTTAGAAATTTCTGGATTGCATATATCATATACAAAATTGGAATTTGGATTTGATAAAAGTCGTATAAAAGCACAGTATCAAAAATGCATTGATAGTGAGGATTCAAACTTTTTTTTTGGCAGGAACACATAAAAGTACTTCAAAAAAGTTACTCTGACTCGCCTATTGGCAGTTCCAATGTTGTTCTCCATTGTGAGGGGAGAAAAGAGAACTGGTCGTGTGTGGATGCTTGGCTTCGGGCCTACACCAAGCGATGTTTGGGGGCCTCTCCTAGTAAAGCTGAACTGATTAATAATGCGAAAAAATCTGATGAGGAGGCACGTGCTGCACGCGTAGAGTTGCAGGAGACCATATCAAAAATGCAAGCCGACTATGACAACAAGTTAGAAAATTTATGAGCCAACTTTGATGACAAGTTGGAAAATTTACAACAACAGGTGACTATGCTAATGCAGATGCAACAACAAAATTGTAGTGGACATGTATATTTATTATTAGTTTTATTCTTTACTAAATCTATGTTTACTTATGCCAAGATTTCATGTATTTTGTTTTTTTATTTTGAAGGGTTCTGATTCGTTAAATGCTCCTCCTAGAGTATTCCCAAATTCATTATCTAGTCGTGATGACAATTCAGTTAAGGTTATGAACTTTTAATTTCTCTTATATATATGTTAAATTTTCATTTATTATAATGTGTGCGTAATGAATTTATAAAAAATGTAGGGTAATTCAAATAAAATAGGCAAGAAGACTTGTTGAAGTTGAAGTTGAAGATGGGGTTGTGGCTGTGCTTTTTGAATTTCCTTCGCCTTGGATGGGTTCTTTTTGAAAAACTTGTACTACATTTATCAAAAATTGTTAATTCTTTTTGTCTGACATTTAATAGCTTTATTTAGACAATTTGGATGGTACATTGGCAGGCTAACTTGTGGTTATATTAGTATACATTTTTGCTTTTTGGTTGACATTTAGCAGGGTTAACTTGTGGTTGTATTAGTAGCCAATTTTGATGGTAATTTTCATATTGGCAGGGTTAACTTGTGGTTGTATTATGTAAAAACAATTTGGATCAATGTTTACTGTTGGTAGTTCTATTGATATGTTATTTCCAAAAACTATAAGGAAAAAAAAAATAACCCCTTTACCAGCGATCTTTTAAGAAGCGCTGGCATAGGAAGGGGAGGAAAAACAAATTAAAATTACCCTTTACCAGAACTTTACAAAAAAGCGCTGGTAAATACACTCTACCAGCGCTTTCTGGGAAAGAGCTGGTAAATACTCTATCCCAGCGCTTTTCTAAAAAGCGCTGGTAAATACTATATACCAGCGCTTTCTGGAAAAGCGCTGGTAAAAGGACTTTACCAGTGCTTCTGCAAAAGAGCTGGTAAAGGCCTACCAACACTGGACTTACCAGCGCTTTTTAAGACTTTTACCAGCGCTTTTGAGCGCTGGTAAAAGGCAAAACTGTTGTAGTGCGTGCTGGGGATGGGTTTAGGCGCGTGGCACGCGCCTTCACGCGCTGCCATGAGCTGGATAGAAAAACAAGCGCGTGGCACGTGCCTCACGCGCTATCATGCGCATTGGCCACTCAGTACATGCTGGCGGGTGTTCCTCACGCTCCAACTTGTTCAAAAGGTGCTGATTGCACCACAATCGCGCCACATGTGATCATACCTCTTTCTTGATTTAATCCAGCGCTTACAGATCCGGTTGCATGGTAATATTATGTACCGCGATGCAATAGATCCCGTGTGCTCTTTCGGCGATGACTCTTGCTGCCGGTGAAACTTCAGTTGTCGAAAAATCGCCGAAAAATTCCAGAAAATTAATAAAAAAATCCCAGAAATTAAATTAAGCCCAAAAAATTCCAGAAATTTTCCAAAAATATCCAAAAAAATTCTAGAAAATTCCTGAACCCTAATTTAACACTTTTGGACCTTCTTGAAGCTTCATAGCATCCTTTGATGAATATTACATGGCTTTAAAGATATTTACAATTTGAAATACAATGGAAAAAATTAAATTACATCATCGAACTTTCAAACGGTTAAATCAAAACCTTAATTACATTCATCCAAAGATAAAATTACATTCAAATAACCTATAAACTTCATCCATGGCCCAAACACACATCATCATCCATTCACAATTATACATACATCTTCATGTATCAATATATATCAATATATTAATTCATACATCAACATACATCAATAAATAAATATATACATATCAAAATTGGATCCATGAATGATGAATTTTAATAAAAACATGATCTCTAGTAATGAATCAAATCATGCTCTGATATCACTGTTAGGAAACGTGCCAGTTTTAAAAACTTTTAAAGGGATTTTCATTCACAGATCTTGATTCATCACATACAGACAAGTTTTATGTAAAAAAATAAAATATGATGTATTATTCAATTAACAGATTGAATACTTACATCAAAGGTCTAAGTAAACCTTTAAATCTTTCCTCTAAAGTGAATGTTCTCACTTATTGTAAATCCCTTAACAAGATGCCTTCTCCTTTGATCTCCATCTTCTTGGTAATTGTTTTGCCTTTAGGAATCACTCATAAGCCTCCATGAATGACTTTGGAAAACTAAGCTTGTGGCAGCCTCTATTAGATAAGAACACTAACCCTAATTTTCTAGAGAGAGAAAATATATTCCTTTTTCTTTCTTCTAAAAATCACCCCTAAAATATACATAGACCATGTATATATATAGGCAATATAAAGATAAAGAAAAGGAAACAATAATCATTCTCAATCTCTAATTCACATGTCTCAAATCTAATACGATTCCAATATCAAGTTGGGCTATGAGTGAGAATCCTTTGGGTTTATTATTTTAATGGCTACAATGAATTAATAATTGGCCCGGTCCATGTACCCAATTCAATTAATTCATAAATTAATTTCTACTCTACAAAAAGAAATTAATTGAATTCCAATTAAATAATAAATAACCTCTAAGTCAATGTTGCACTTTGACCCCTCTATGCATAATTAGTTATCGGATAAAAAAAGCCATCAATCCGACTACTTAATTAATATATTTATTTTGGTACCTTTGATTATTTCTGACTTGATCACAATAAAACATTTGCTTGACAAAAATAATAATTTAAATAAATAAATAAATATATAATAAATCATTTTGTCTAAAAACACACGAAGGACTTCGAATTTACTTTGTGATCAACCATAATCAATACAAAATAAATACAAGTAGCAATGATGCAAATATTGAAAATATAACCCTCTAACTATTAATTACATAACTACTCAAAGTGTCGGTCTAAGGATCTCGAAGTATCCGCCGAACAAATCAAAGTAATTATTAATTAATAAAAGAGTTTATACTTTTCTCATGCTTAAGAGTCAAAAGCCATGACAGTGATAGGGAGCAATTGCATACGGCGGCTCTCGCAATATATCTCAACCTAACGCGGATCCAGTTCAAGTCTTAATTAATTATGAGTCTATCCATAATTACCGACTATGAACAATTTATGATTACTATTTATATTCATGTATTGATCGCCATCACATACATATATAAATATCTCTTGTAATCAAATGGACACTATCAATTCCATAATGAATTGAAACATAATATATTGAATTCACCAATTGTATAAAGCATAAATATTTCAGATACGTCAGGAACATATGTCACTTTAATCCAAATAGGAATTTGCTATGTCAGGGCATATAAATCCCAACAGATACAACACCAGCAAAGGTTCCTCTACCCAAGGTAGGTTCTTGCTCTTGTTTTTCACATTTTCATCTTTTCTAGAATATGCTGCAAATAGAATTCCTTGTCGCATGTCACATATATTTGGATGCACCATGTGTTTATAGAAATAAGAAGAGTAGAAATAATTTTCAGTGGAGTTAGATGTTTTGCATAAAAAGTTTGATTGTTTTTGGAGTAAGCTTGAGATTTCATAAATGATTATACAAGGCAACAATAAGTAAAACACGTTCCAGCACCCAAATGCCTTCTCAATATTTTGTACAAGGCTGGAAATTTCTTTCAGTGGCATAATTTAAGTCATTTATATATGTTTATGTGCTAGTCACTTGGACATCTATTTCAATCCTTTGCATACTTGTACTGCTATGTGCAATGACATCAAACTTTATAAAAATATATGTAGTTAGGTATTTCTATTGCTCTTCCTATAGCAAAGTACTTGTGAAATATGAAATAAATATATTAATAATATGAGACAAAATATTATGTTAAATATATTTTAATTTTATGAAATTTGGTTTTAAGATCATATTATCATAAAGTTAAATAAAAGGCAATATCATAAACATGCTTTTCCTTAGAATCAAATTTTTCTAGAAATTAATATTATTTGGAACTATATTTTCTTAACAATCATTTGTCTAAATATTATATATCTATAAAGACTGTGGAATAGTATTTTCTGATTTGCTAAAAGTAATATTTTAGATATATATTAAATATTAATAGTAAGTGCATTTCCCAAATAAACATTGGATTTATTTCTGAGGATCATATTTCGGATTGTTCTAAAATAATTTTCAATATTAGAATCATGCTTTCTAGATAAAATATTTCCTAAAACCATATTTACTCAATCTTAGTTTCCATTATAAATAATATTTTTCTAAAAAAAAAATTATATGTTACTAAAATTATATCTTTCTTTAAAAATCATATCCTCTAAAATATTTTTTCGTTGAAATTTCTTTTCTGCGTTCAGTTTCTCGTCGCTTAGTGTTGTCTCGAGTGCTTGAAAATCATTTCTGAGACTCTTTCCTTTGGATTGACAACTTCCTTTGAGGACCGAGTCATTTCCACATTTTTCATTTTTCGACACTATTCGCTTTTTCGTTATTTTCCCTGTTTTGTCATCTTCCCTATTTTGTCTTTTCCCCGTTTGTCACTTGATTGGCATAACCTCACTCCTTGTGTTCGGAGTTGGTTTTTGACTTCACGTATATTCATTCTAAGTGGTTTCCACAAAATTCATATCTTTACTTTTACAGAAAAGTACTCTGGCTGCTCCCGGTGTCCATAGGGGCATGGATGCACAGTTTTTAGAATCTTTTTCTTTTCTTGGGGTGTTTTTCGTAAATATCTTTTGAAGATATTTTATTTCAGGGGTATCTAAGAAAATATCTTTTGGAAGATATTTTTATTCAGGGGCAGTTTTGCAGTTAACCCTTTTTGTAGGGGCCATTGTGCAATTAACGAAAGTTATTACAAAATATCTCGTCTGGAGCTTGGATCCTCATACAGGATTCATTTTCACATTTCCTCGAGTCGTGTACTCATAGAATTTCCTTCTGGTCATTTTTCTCCAGTTTTAGGGTTTCTGGACCCGGTTGCTACCGAACTTGTTTGGGGTATATCTCTCTGCTCGGGACTCGGTTTTTGATACCATTTCTTCCATTATTCATATTTTATCATTTAGAATCTTTTTCATTCATGGAGTTTTTTCGTTTGAGCTCGTTTGCTCAAAATTCACTTTTTCGGACCTGGCAAAACCCTTTCGAGGCACTTTTTGAGATTTTCTATAAATATGGGGTCTTAAGTCAAAAATTCAGATTTCCATCATCTTCTTCACCCTCTTGGCTGGCAGCAATGGGAGCCCAAGGGGCTCCCTTCATTCTTTCTTCTCCTCCACTTGATTTTCTTAGTGAAAACTCTTCGGCCTTAACATTTATCGTTCCCCTTGACGTGCTCTACCTTTCCCCCTTATTAGAATTCATTTCTGACCATTTCTTGAGTTCGGGTTTGAAGTCAAGTTGTGATTTTGATGGGGCTTCTTGGGGGTTCATGTAGATCGTGTTGTCCCCCGACAAAACCTAGGAGTTTCGTCGGATTCGGAGCGATTTCAATTTGGTGGGGATTTGAGATTTCATCTCAAAATGAGGTAAGGGATGTTATAGGTTTTTATTTGAGTTGTATTGATTGTTTTATGAGCATATATAACTTGTGAGCATGCCTTGTTTAAGTTTTTTTGAATTTAATTTATTTATTTTCTTTGTTTAGGATTTAATTCTAAT